CGGGGGGGCACAGCCCTGAAAGAACCTCTGGGGCACCTGCCCTCCCCCAGCCCTCTTCTCACACCTTCGCTGGGTGCAGGGTCTTCCCAGCCCCTGCCACCGGCTGTGCCAAGACGGCAGAAGTGCAAGTCCTCGCTGTTCCAGCAACGCCATGCCGTCAGGGCTTGGGCACCTCCAAGAACACAGACCTCATGACGCCCACCTTGTGGGTCTCCTGCTTCCTTACTTCCAGAGTCTGTGTCCATGGCTCTCACAGGGACCCAGGGACGCAACTTCTTCCTTTGGAGGAGGACGGAGGGACCTGAACTCAAATGCTCTTTCCTGAGCCCGCCACCTCGGCAATTCTCTGTGTGGCCTGCGTGAGCCCCTCCCCAGCCATCCGCACTGCCCTCTGTTGGGTGAGCCCCACGTCATCCCCACCCCTCTCAGTTGGTGGCCTTCAGAGCTACTCCAATGGTCCAGATGAGGTCCGAGCAGCCCAAAGGACCCCTTTCAGCTTCCGTCCCCACCAGCCCTCCTCCTGCCCCTGCATACGTGCCAGGGAAAAGAAATACCCAGGGCACACACAGCCCTCCTCCAGGACCAGAACGTTCCTTCTGTGCCTCCTGCTCCTCACTCTCGGGCCTCCCCTGACCTCAGGCCTCCGGGGCCAACTAGACTCCTCCCACCTGGGACTAGTGACTCTCCTGGCAAGGTCAGCGGAATCTGTCTGCTTCTTCCAGGCACTTCCACCTGCCCTCAGTGCCTGACCCTGCTAAAGTGAGTCAAAGATTCAAGGCGTCTGCTCTAGGTCTTAGCCTCTTCCTCACAGCCCCAGCAAGGCTGATGCAAGCTCCAGGCACCAAAGGGTGTGCCCAGGAGTCTGAGGGCGCAGGCTGCTTTGCCTGTAATTCTCTGGTTCGTGGCCTGAGGCCCCGGAGGCCCTGTCCAGCAGCCAGACCTCTCAGGGGTATAGCCCGGCCACACTTTGAATACTGGAAAACCACAGCCCACAAGATAATATCTGATGCATATTAACCACGCAGTGCTTCCTCCCTGCCCTCCTACTTCCTTCTCCCGGCGCTGACCCTGCCCCGCTGACACAGGGCCCCGGGCCTGTGATGAGAAGCTCCCCCACTCCTAGCTGCTCCCCTAACCGTGCCCCAACTGTGTGTCTGGATCCCAGGCTTGCACAGTGGCTAATTCTGGCGTCTCATCAGACAGTAATTACGGGGGAATCAGCAATGCTCTTATCTCCGCAGCTCGGCACCTGTCACCGCGCTGCCATCGCCAGGCTGCTGGGATGGGACCGGAAGCTGAGGGAGGAGGGGTGCACTGGAGGGAGGGGTGCCGACTCCCTCCCTGGCTCTGCAGTCCTCATCTCCTTCAACCCTGCCTCCCCACAAGGCCTGCGGTGCATGTGAACCTCGAGGCCACTGGCCTCCATTTCTCGGGGTGTGCACTGAATGCATGTGTCATGTGTCACATGTACACACACCCCTGACCAAACAGAGTGGGGAGGACACAGCAAGCCAAGGCTCAAATCTTGCCTTGGCCACTTCTCATACAGGTGACCTTGAACAAGTCATTTCACTTCTCTGGCTGACAGCTTCCTAACAGCAAAATGGGAAACCAGTGTCTGCTTTAGGGAGATGGGTAAAAATAAATATGTAAAGTATCTAGCACAGTGCCTGGCACATGTACGGTCATATATTCACTCAGCAAACAAGTGGTACATATACACTCTGTGCTGGGCATTGTGAAGATGCCAAGATACATTAATCACAGTTTCGTGAGAATCACACACAGGTCGCATTGAGACACCGGCATTGTGTTTGGCAGGAGGTGTTTTCTTTTGTTTTGTTCTCTTGCAGTTTTAGTGCTTTTAAGGAGCCCCCGTGCTTTTCTCTTCCCCGCAGTCCCCACCGTCCCCTATTGCCTCACTCACTACTTCCCTGTGTCCTACTCCTGAAGGCACCGAGCTCACTGCCCCTAAGAGTAAAGTGGACTAGTAGGCTGTTTGTCCAGAACCAAGGCCAGGAGAGATTTGACCGGGGGGTGGGAGTTCAGAGGGGCCAATCAGGGGTAGTTCCGGAGGGGTGCTTCGGGGAGGTGCTGGCGAAGGGAGGGCAGGACGGGGAGGTGACAAAGGGAGGTGTCCCCGGAAGAAGAATCACGGCAGCAGAGGCTCCCGGAGGGAAAGGCCAGGCCTGATGGGAGCTGATGGAGTCAGCCATGTCTCAGGATGTCCCTCCCCATGTTAGACCTCTAGGCCCCACGCTCCAGCACCTCCTGCTTCTCCAGAACCTTCCAGAGTGCTTTCCTAGGTGGTCTCACTGGTGGAGCTATGCTATAAGACCACCTCTCCTTGTCTCACAACCAAGCAGCTGTCACAGCTAAGCCACCGTGTCGTTTCCCGGTCCGCACGGGTCTTTTCCCGGTGGAACGGAACTCTGCTGGAATGGAAAGAGGTCTGCAAGCCGGAACTCTCCAACCTCCAGCCCCCTCCCGGCCCCGCCCCCACCTCTGAGCGGAACCAGGAATGGGGTTAGGGAGGAGGATGGAGATGGACCTCAGAGTGGGCGTGAACCACAGAGGAACCCTGCCTGTGGGAGCGCCGAAGTGAGGCAAAGGTGCGCCCCTCTGCACACAGCGTGTGGGACTGAGACCCGACCTCAGGAAGGCGGAAGGCAAAACAGAAGGAGGGGGAGGGGCTGAGGCTGCCACGACCAGACCGAGCCTCTGTGTGACCTTGAGCGTGTTACTTCACCCCTCCGGCCTGTCTCCTCCCCGAAACGAGACAAGAGCATGGAGTCGTGAGGATAAAATGAATTAACACATGGACAGAGCTTAACGCAGCACAGATGGCTCAGACGTATGGGTCGTTACTAGTTGCATTATTATCAGGGATGACTCCCCCCCACCCCCAACACTCAGCAACAAGTAAAGGAGGCCCCAACGGCTTGCCAGCCCTCCACCCCCAAGCCCTTCTCTCTCAGAGCCCGCAGAGGGAGCTCAGAGGTCTCTTCTAACCGCAGCGGAGCCAACGCTGAGCGTTGAGGCGCTGGCCCCACTGCGTCCACCTCCGCCTCCCTGATGTCGCCCCACCCCCACGCCGGGTGTCATTCCAACAACCCTGCACCGCTTCTCCAAACCCACCCACGTCGCATTCCACTCTGGGTTTTAAAGCAGGTTGGGGATGCTCCCCCTCTTTACTGATGTAAAAAGTAAGTCTTGAAAGATACTGAGCTCCCTGTCTCTGGAAGTATTCCAGAAGGGGGTGAGTGGAAGAGGGGAGGGTTCAGGCCCCCGCCCCACCATTCTCTTCCCCTGAGCCTTGTGCCCCGGACCTTTGCCGTCTGTGTGGGGAGGGCAGAGGTGGCCTTCAAGACCAGGACAGGGCAGGGGGGAAGGACTGCGGTCTCTGGTCACCCCTGCCTTCTCCTGACAACAGTGGAGGGTGGGGGAGGGGAGGGAGCAGTGCCGTAGCTCTTTTAGGAAAACGGTAATTGTAATTAAGAGGCAGACAAACGAGCTCTCTGCATTTTGTCTCCGAGCAAAGTTATTAAAAAGCCATCAAGGCGGCAGCAGCCACAGTGGCAGAGAGAGCTGCCTCCCCAGGCCGCTGGCCCGGACTGGGGCTGGTGCATCCTTCAGGGAGCTGGAGAAGGGCTGGAGGACACGGAGGCCCAAGCAGCCAGGGCGGGGATTCTGCAGCCCCTCTCCCAAGGCAGGGGCAGGGGCAGTCCCCAGACAGTCTCCAGGGCACGCCCTGCTCACGCCCAGAACAGGGCAGGGGTGGGAGGGGGGACAGAAAGGGACCCAGCAGTGGGGCAGCCCCTGCTGTGGGCCAGGCTCTGGACCAGCTACTGCTTTTCCTTTTCACTTAACAACATGCTTGGTAGGTGTTCCCGTACCATCTCGCCTGCAAGAACATGGGGGCTCAGAAGGGGAAAGTGGTTTGCCCTTGGCGGCCGCACAGCTAGGAAGCAGCGTAAATGAGGCATGGAACCCAGGTCAGGCTGACCCTCCAGGCAGAACCCCAGGCTGCCGGTCAGGGGCAGAGAAGCCGGGGCTGGGCACCCTGCCCATTTTTCCTCCCCCAGCCTGGGCTCCCCGAGGCCCTGGACCAACAATGCTTCCCACAGTCCCCAGGGTTGCTGGGGACTTGGTAGGGGGGCCTTGGTCACTGCTTGCTTGGGGAAGCACACTGTGAGAGGGTGCCATTGGGCCCAGGGGCACTCTACAAGGACATAAAGTACAGAGCAGCTGCCCACAGAAAGAGCAGTGGCGGGTAGGGACATCGGTGGACACAGAGGCACAGCCCTGGGACTGGCAGGCACTCTGCAGTCAGCTGGCCAGGCCCCAGCCCCAGGCCCCACAGCTGGTGAATCAGACAACCCCTTAAGCTCTACCGGTCCACCCATCTCGGTCACTGTCGGACTCTGAGCCCCGCCCAGAGACCGCACGGAGGAGGTACTCAACAAATCTGTTCCGAATGAAAGAGTGGATGCATTCATGAAGGAATGAACAAATGGCTGAATAAATGAAACGAGGTCTCAGGTCTACAAGGGTCTATAAACAAAGCTGTATTGAGGTTGGATGTGGTCCCATCTTCTCCCCTCCCCCACCTTCTCGCCACAGCTGGACCATGGACTTCTTTCCCCCCCATGAGAAGGGTCCCTTCCCCCGAGGCCACCAGACCCCTCAGCAGAAAGCTCCTGTCTCCTCCACCCTCCCCGGTTACGTGGAAGCTGTGCCGCCAGCACACACGCACATGCACACGGGCTTGCGCACGCACGCTAACTCACATGCACACCCATGCAGACAGACGCATTCTCTGCCAGGCAAGGTGCCCTCCCCAGAGTCAGATCTCTGCTGTCCCCTCCCCTGGCAGAGGTCTGGGCCCACCAGGGACGGCCCCCTCCCCCATCTGTGGCCCTCTAGGCTGGGGAGGGGCATCTGGCTGGGGAGCAGTGGGAGTGGAATGACGGGGGAGGCCTCCCTCCTGGCTTACCAACCTGGAGACTTTAAACAGAGGGAACAGAGTCCTGGAGGCTTCCCTCCCGCTGCACGCTGGAGCCCTGGGTGAGGGACAGGAAAGGAGGAAAGTCGTGAATGAATGCCCAGAGCTGGGGAAGAGGAGCTGGAGAGAGGAAGGGGCTGGGGCAGGGCTCCCAAAGTGGGCCGGGCTGAGCAGGGGCCTTGGGCCATGGAGGAGGGGACAGGGACAGCAAGGCAGAGCCTTAGGAGCTGTCCATTGGGCGGTCACTGGGGGCTGGGGGGCAGGCAGGATGGCGACTGGGTGTTGGAGGAAGAACAGGGACTGAAGGGGCAGAGACACTGGTGGGAGACAGACAGGAGGACAGACAGCAGGACGACACAGAAAACACGGGGTCCCCAGAATGAGGTCCCCAGGGCAGACGGCCTACAAACCTGGTTCTCTTCCCAGAAACGGGGCAGACTCTTTCCTGGGGTGCCCACCCAAGATCCTAAGTGACAGCACCTCGGAGGGCTCCTCTGCCTCCCGAACCCGTCACCCATTTCCGGAAGGTGGGTGAGTTCAGAGTCAGAGGGGACTGCCATCGTGGCTCTGCTGACAACCCTCTTCCAGCCAAGAGACCCCCGTTTCCTGTGATCAGCTCCTACCGCCGAGGAAGGCCCCCTCCCCTGACTGCAGCAGAGGGAACAGACATTCCGCATCCAACATGCATCCACACACTCACTGTGGCAGGGGCCGTGCGAGGGGAGGCGCCCCTGCCCCAAGCTGCCGCCCTGCACCCTGCGTCTCACTCCTGCTCTGCACTCACTGGCCCTCAAACTGCCAGACAGACCTGCCCGAGCCTTCCATCATGGCTGCCTCCTCCACCCACCCTCCCCACAGGGAGGCCCTTCTCACTGTGCTCTCTCTCCCTGGGGCTGCTCTCTCTCCCTGGGGCTGCAGGAGCCACCCTTTTTTTTTTTTTTAAGATTTTATTTATTTATTTTTAGAGAGGGAAGGGAGGGAGGGAGGGAGAGAGAGAGAGAGAGAGAAACAATAATGTGCGGTTGCTGGGGGTTATGGCCTGCAACCCAGGCATGTACCCTGGCTGGGAATGGAACCTGGGACACTTTGGTTCCTAAGCCCGCGCTCAATCCACTGAGCTACGCCAGCCAGGGCCTGAGCCACGCTTTTTTATACATGGTTTCATTTTCTGCAGTTTTGGTTACCCCTGGTCAACTGCAGCCCAAAAATATTCTGTGGAAAATTCCAGAAATACACAATTCATGAGCGTTAAACTGCAAGCCGTCCTAAGTCGCAGGATAGAATCTCGCGCCTTCCTGCTCTGTCCCACCTAAGACGTGAATCATCCCTTTGTCCAGTTTTTCTACTGCCCCACCTGCCAGCGGCCATCTCGCCCATCAGATCCGCTGTCACCGTGTCACAGTGCTTGTGCTCAAGGAACCCTTATTTTACTTAATAATGACCCCACAGTCACTCACATAGCTTGTATCACAGTATATTGTTCTATTATTAGTGGTTATGGTTCATCTCTTACTGTGACTCATGATCAATGAAACGTTATCATAGGTATGTATAAGTAGGAAAAAAAAACATAATATATGTAGGGTTGGTACTATCTGAAGCCTCAGGCATCCATTGGGGATCTCGGGATGTATCCCCCATAGGGAAAGGGGGGACTACTGTACCGGTCTATTGTCTGTTGCCTTTCATCCTGGGGCACGCAGCCTCAAGACCGTTCCTGCCCGGAGACACTGCGGCCCCGGCACCCTCCGGGGCACCGCCCTCCCTTGGCTGGCTCAGAACCATCCATGCCCACATCACGTCTGGCTGCAAGCGCTCACAGAGCCTCCTGCCAGTCTCACGGTTCCAGTTTTCTCACCAATTACCCACGACGCAGGCACCCCAAGGAGAAACAACTGCCGCATCCAGATGCTGGGACTTGGACCAGGGGGAGAAATCAGGGAGGCTCACTGCCATGCCTGGCCCAGGGGGCTTCCCGGGTGGAGCGCTGGGTTGGGGGCTGGGGCGTGGACAGAGGGCCACAGGGTAGGGGCAGTGAAGACCCCGGAGGGCCAGCTTCCTTTCCACCACCAGCTTTCAGTGGTGGCTCCAGGGGCCCAGCCCCAGCGAGGCTGAGATCTAAAACCCAAATCTGAGTGTGAAAAATGACAAAAGAGGGTTTCTCATGTAAGCCCCTTCCCCCAGAGGGAATGGTCTCCCATTCAATCATTCAGTTGGTTGGAGAAGAGGATGGTGAAGACGAAGAAATGACTACTTATCGGAGGCTCATGATGGGCTAGGAACTCAGCCTGTATTACTCCATTTAATCCTGGTACCCACCCGGTGAGGACACCGCTGTTACCAGTCCCAAGTTACAGATGAGAACACTGAGCTTCAGAGAGGCGAAGTATCTGCCCAAAATCACACAGCAAGTCAACGCAGGGATGCCAGCCCAGGCCCGTCCGACCCCAGAACCTGAGCTCTCGGCCAGTGAGCAAAACGGGGCGTCCTACCCGTTCTCCCCAGTCTTGGCTATTTCCCATTCAGTGCCCTCTGGAAAGTGCTGCCTAAAGTCTAACCTCTTTCCATCCCATGCTCCAGTATAAACTATTTCGTAAGGACCGTAAGTGGAAGAGAAGGCTTCGCTTCAGTATCTTTCTGCCTCGTCCTAGGGGTGAGAGGCAAAAGATTCCAACCCTGAGCTGCTGACGGACCCGGGAGGGGCCCGGGGAAGGAGGTGAGCTCTTAGGTCCCGGAGAAGGGGGTCCAGGATTTCCCAAGCGCCATCCTTACGTGAGACTTCGGCTCTCTCCGGGAGCTGCCTTCCTGCTTCCCCGCCTCCATCACGGAAGAGGCTCAGGAAGCCCCTCAGGGGGTCCTTGTTTTAACATCCGAAAATCCCCTCCACACCCAGGTTATGCAGAGCCTGAAAAGTCGGGGTGCTGGAAAGTCCTAAGAGCCCCCACTTCCCCTCAGAGCCCCACCTTCCGACTTAGGAGGCTGGGACAAGAATGGGGGGTCATCAGGCCGGCCTGGCCAGGAAGCGGGAACAGAGTGGGCAGGGACCAGCCCCAGAGAGTGGGCAGAGAGGCTGGGCAAGGCTGCAAGGGCTTCAGCGAGCCTCAGAATGCCTCCCAATGAGCTGGGATCGTTAATTCTTCCCCAATGAGGCAGATGTCGGTGCCTGGGGTGATGCTACAGATGCCTCCTGTGTCTGCAATTATCACACGTCCTGGGGGGTGTGGAACACCCCACTCTACCTCCTATGCTCTGTGCAAGCCTCTCTAGCCTGGGCCTCTCTGTGGGATCTCTGGGTTTGCCCTCCCATCCCTCCCCCCACCCCTGTGTGTCCATGGGTCTGGGCCTCTAGCATGCTCTGTGGCTGGGGTGAAAAAGAAGCCAGTATCCAGGCATGAGGATATTTGCAGAGGTGTGGAAGGCCGGCATCTGAAAAGCCAACTGCTTCCCAGTCTTACTCCACACCGGGACATGCAGGCAACTGGGCCAAGTGGCTGAGGCTACCAGGAACCAGGGAGAGGTTGTCCGGGAGATGGTGAGCCACCAGCTGGAGGTGCCTCGGTGGAAGAAAACACGGACCGGATTCTAATCCCTGGCTGGAATGGAGTGTGGCAAAGTAGTTCTGCAGGGGTGGGAGGAAAAGGAGTTTATGATTTACATGATAGCTGAACCCCACAGCCACTCCTTCATGTATCCTCCAGGCTGAGAGGACAGACTCGAACAAGGTACGCCTTTGGAACACGAGGGCCTGTCTGTAAGGTGTGTGTGCTCACATGTGCACACGCGTGCCAGCATTCTCTTGGGCCAAATCTCTGTTTTTCCTGGTTTCACTGGAGCTGAGAAATATCCTTCCCACCGTCTGTGTGGACAGGCATGCGTTATCTCAGGGGAAAGGAGGTGGGTAGGGCCTATGGCAGCTGGAAGGGGCCTTAGAGATCCTCTAGTTCCACCCTCTTTCCTCCCATCAAGGGCCTTGAAGACCAGAGGGGGCAAATAACTTGCCCCAGGTCACACAGCAGTAGAGGAGGTAGACAAGCCGACACCAGTCCAGCGCTTTCTCTTTGCATTGTCCTTCACTTCTCTGCCCTTTGGGGATCAAAGATTGACTTCCCACCCCCCCTTTACCCCCCCCCCAGCAGCTCTGAACCCCTCCATCATGGCCCCCTGAACTTGGCCAACCCACAGCAGCCACAAGAAGTTCAGCTGGACCTGCCAAGCTCCTCCGGCCATCTCGCAGGTCAGCCAACCAGCTCCCTGCCCCTGAGCCACTCACGCTCACGCACACCTCTCACTGAGGTCGAAGACGCAGAGAACACCATCGGAGCTCCCCGCCCCGGAGCGGACACCCCTCACGCGGCCACCCTCTGCACACCACCACCAGGAGGCTCTTCCTCTGTCACCTCTATTCCTTCTGCGGCAGCGTGGGCCTGCTTTCTCTCCAGCTGTCCTGTGCAGAGATGGGGGAGGGGGAGGAGAACAGGTTTCCCGGCCTCCAAACACTCTGTTTGCCCAGCAGCAGGGAGGATGAGGGCAGGGTGTACCAGGATGGCTCGGCCCTGAGCCCAGCGCGTGCGTGGGGTGCGAGGGGCGTGGTGGGGGAGCGGCAGCCTGCGTGTGGGAGAAACCGCTCTTCTGGGCATGGTCCTTCCAACCGCTCATCCCCTGTGAAGCCCTAAATCTCAGAGTTCTGGAGTGTTTATTGTGTGCCAGGCGATGTGCTGGACATTTTCATCTATTACTTCACTTAATTTTCCCAACAATTCCATGGCCAGAAACTAATCCTCCCCTGAGACAGTCCATCCCTCAGGATAAATCTAACCTTGATCCCTCTTGCTGCATTTCCTCAGGCCCAGCTCTCCTTGGCGGTGGAGGGCATTGTTGCTCGTCTTCAGAAATCCCCAGCATTCCTCAGTAGCCCCACATTATATTCTCCGGGTGCCACCCTTCACCCGTCTTGCCCCGTGTGACGGGTATTATAGGGTGAAGGGAACTGGGGCGGGACTAGGGGCTGGGATCAGAGCACTGGCCTGTGCCAGACGTAGACAGGGCACATGGCAGGTGGCGGGTGTGGGGAGGCCCCGGGGCCGTCCTCACGAGATCAGTCCGGGCCAGTGGAGGTGGGCCAGTGGAGGTAGGTCCTCCCTGGTGAGGTCTGTGACCCTTGCAGGGGGCATATGACCTCACCTTTAGTGTGTTGACTAGGCAGAACCCGGAGATGGAAAGATCTAGTTCTTTCAGTGACCATCTCTCAGGTCCCAGTTCCAACCACACACTCCCAGAGCCCCGGGGGGCTGAGCAGAAACCGGCAGGGGCACAAGGCGGCAGGACTTGCCCTGGCTGTGGTGGGAGCTGAAGCCAGAGGAGGAACTCTTAGACCTAGTCCAGCTCCCGGCGTCCCCAGGCCTCCTGGTGCAGGAGGGGACACCTAAGCCCCTCTGCTAGCTTCACGTAGCCACGGGCAACTTCAGTGCATTTACACACCACTTGGCTTCTGTGTTTGGACCTTTTGGAGCAAAAGGGATGAGGGCAAGAGTCCCTGTCACTACAGCTTCCCCCCCATCCTGCCTCCAGCATGGCTGGAACACGGGGAGGCTGGACTCACCTCTCCAGAGAATGCTCAGGCCTCAGCTTCCACCCGTTGGGAGCTTCACGCAGGGAAAGCGTGGGCCAATGGGCAAAGGGAATGGCAATGGTGGGTGGGACTCTGATCCCTGTGGGTGGCACCCTCCCCCTTCAAGCAGACATCATTAATATATGCAAAGCATATGCAAATCATCCAGAAGAGAGACACAACATGGGTGGAATGCCAGAGGAGACCTTGGGGATGATCCAGCCCACACCTCCTCCTGTCGCAGGTGAGGAAAAGAGGCCCCCCTAGGAAGGGACTTGCTCAAGGTCATTCGGACTTTTGGGCACCGAGCAAGGAGCCTAATGAGGTTCTTCCTCAGTTCAGTGTTCTTTCCATAACTGTCTTGTCTTTCATATGAGGGGCTTCCCAGATGGCAAAGGGGGTACAGGGCCTAGATGGGGTTCCAGGAAGGCCTATCAGAATCCCCGCCTTCCTGCCTCTGAGCCTGGAGACGGTGTAGTGTGTGGGAGGGGAACAGCGGGCAGTGATGACCGGGCCAGTGGACAGAGGGGCCGGGGGCCGGGCATGGTTTTCCAGCAGTCCAGCGGCAGTGGAGGGCGGCAGAGCCGGAGTGGCTGAAGCCCAATGTCAGGGCAAGGTGCCCGCTGTGGTTCGGGGAGAGGCGTGACGCCCTGACTGCACGGGCACATCCCTAAGTGCTCAGCAGCTCCCTTCGGCGGGGACTCTAATGACTATGGCACCTGACAGACCATAATAAACCCAGGCCTGTCCCTTCCTCAGCTGAGGCTGCCCTCCCACCCCCACCCTGCCCCCCAACTTGGCTTCTCCACCTTCCAGACGGTCCTAGAAAGCAGGACCTGGGCTGGGGGGAAGGAAGACAGACAGATGGGAGGGGGCAGACAGCAAGAGGCCAGAGGAGACTGAGAGCAGGAGGGGAGACAAGGGCGAGAGAGCATGAAAGGCAGAGCAGGAGAAGCAGGGGCAGAGCGAGGGGAGGTCTCGAGGAAGGGAGGGGGGAGACGGAAGGGCACAGAGGGACGCAGGGGAGCCGAGAGGGAGAGGCGAGGGCTCTCCGGAACTGAGGCACCGCAGGACAAAGCGGGAGCCTGGGTGTGGGGCACAGGAACCCCACCGAGGCCTGGGGCTGTCTGGCAGGAGTTGGGGACCATGCCCCTGCCCCTCTGCCCGCCTCCCCAGCGACTGCCCAGGCTGCCAGGAAATCAGTCCTCCCTCCTCTGCGTCCCATCCTCCCTCCTCACCTCCCTCCCTCCCTTTCTCCCTCCCTCCCTCCCTCGGGGCGAGCAAACCGGCTTCCTAGCCAAATCCAAAGCCTTCATCTCCGCTTTTCAGAGCTGGGAATGAAAGAAGGGGAAGCAAGTGCAGCCCTCAAACCCGCTGACGGCCAGATTTTTATTATCTCTGCTCGAATGGGCCCTAGGAAGTCAACAAGGGAATCTTCAAAGAGCATCTCAGTGGCTCCCTGAAGCCGGCACCTGCACCGGCCCGCCCACAGCAGGCAGCCAGGGCCTGAGGGGCACAGTGCGGCCCCCAACTCCTGCCAAGCCCGGAGCCCGGATCTGAGGCTGCCAGGGACTTCACCCTCAGCCCCCCGCCCCCCCTCCCGTGCCTAGGCAGGGGCCCCTTGGCCAGGCCAGGCTGAAAAGCCGGACCCAGGGCCGCTGGGCCGCAGAGGCAGTCTCTGTCCCTCTCTGGGTCTCGAGGACACAAACCAAGGAAGAAATGAGATCTCCTTGCCAGGGCTTGGAGGAGATAAGTGCTTGGGATTCCTCGAAAGAAAAGCTTTTGTGGCAAGCCCTAGATCCTTCCCCCAGATCCCTCCCCTGAATTCTCTGCCTGCCCCGCACCCACAGACCCCATTGACTGCCTCCTGACGCCCCCTGACCCAACCCCTCCCAACCACAGCTGCCCCTCCATTCCTGAGCCCCAGGCCCACAGCTCAGGAAGATCTTCACACTCCAGTTCTGTCCATTCAAATCCTCAACCCCATCTGCCTTCTGTCCCCAAGACCTAACCTGGAGTGAGGGGTGGCGGGGCGGGGGGCTAAAACAGACCTGTTACTTCAAAAAATCCTCTCCCCCCTAAACTTGGATTTTGTCAGAGAAAGCCAGGGCTGGCGTTGGGCAGATGGCAGCCATGCCACCGCCCCCACTCCGCGGGCTCTGACCACATCACTGAGATCAATGCCCACAGCCAAAGAAGGAATCAATGGTCCTAATTAAACCCTTTTTCCAGGGTGGGTCCCTGGCCAGAGAGAGAGAGAGGAGGAGAGAAAGAGAGAAAGAGCACCTGAGAATCTGCATCCCAGCACCAGCCCCGTTCCCTGCACATCTCTAGGAAACCTTCAGCCCAGAGGGAATCAGGTCATGAAGACCCCAGAATGCCCGTATTAGGCAACAAGGCACGCAGAAAGCCTGGGGTGGGGGCAGGTCTCATGCCCAGGGCCACTTCCCCTGAGAGCTCCCCCCTTGCCACTCGCCACAGCCTGAGGACCACAGTTGCTTCTTCCCGATCCCCAGAGCACATGGGGCACCGGGTCTCCATCCCAGCCCTGAGGGTTATCACGATAACGGGCGGTCATGGTCAGGGCGGAAGGAGCAGGGCTAGGGGGGCACTGGACAAAGACCCTCTTGTCCCCAAGGCGGGGTGGCAGGAAGCCAGAGCAAAGCCTTTACACTCGCTGCCAGCGGTGCCTGGGTGCCAGGCAGTCTGGGTTGGGGCGATCTTATTCTCGGGACCCCCCCATCTTATGCCCACGGCCCTCACCCCCATCCCTTGCTTGCACACCAGCCCATGAGCAAAGTCTCTGCCCCAACTCTCAGCTTGCCCGGAACCCTCCTCCCTGTGTGAGTGTCGGGCCCTGACCCTTGCCCACAGTGGCCCCAACACCGACCAGAAACAGCAAAAACCCTCACACGTAAACCATAACTGCCCTCCACATATGTACAAACGCACAACCTCGCCAGAAACCTCCACCATCACAGCTGCCACCAATAATGACAGTCTCATTATTTTCGCAGTGACAGTCTCTATCAAATGCATCATCAATTCTTTAAGACCAGCAAGAGACACAGAAGGGAATGAGGGAAACTGAGGCACAGAGACAGCAAAGCAGCTGTCTCAAGGTCACACAGGCCAATATATCCAGAATTCCACCCCCACCAAAGGGCTCAAACCCCAAATCAAGAAACAGTCAGACCCACCAGCCTGGAAGTCTGGTCGGCTGCCCCCCACTCCCAGCCTTCCATCTGTTTTCCAAAACAACAGTAGCTCCAACATCTTCTGAAAGGCTTCATCCAGGAACCTCAGCTCAGGGGACCCACTTCCCTTAAAGTTGGGGGCTGCAAGACCTGGTTGCATAGCATTTGGGAGTGGGAAGAACAGTCCAGGGTCCCCTCCTTGCACAGTCCCTGCTCCTGCTCACCTGGCTCCCTTCGGCCCCCAGGGTCCTTTGGTCCGGCCTCCTCCCTGGGAGATCGGGAGCTGCCCTCAGCTGTCCTCTCCCACCAGGCCAGGGCAAAGCGCCGGAGGCACTGCCAGGGCTGCATGGGGAAGGGTGGGGCGGGGGTGCTCGCACCAGTAGCCGCACACACCGCGCTGGGCTCTGCCAGCCGAGCTGCGGAGGCACCCGGCCGGCCCCCTCGGCTTCCACTAGCATCCTGCTGCCCCCACCGACAGGACTCAGAGCTGGTCCGGGAGCTTCTGACGTAGCAGGGGGGTGCGTGGGAGGAGGGAGGGAGCCAGGGGCGTCCCGTCCCCAGCCCCTCCCTCTGCCCGTCAGCCTCCAGCGGTCCCTAACTCTTCACTAACCCTAGACGCTCTGCCCAGCTGGGGGCGCCCTCCCCTTGCCCTCTCCAGGGGGAGGGCTTAAGATCAAATGGCCCCTCCCCAACCCCTCCCTCTCGTGGCCCCTCCCTACCCACCAGCTGGGCTGGGAGCGGGTCCCCAGTTTCTGCAACTGCTGCCTAGGCTCCGAGGTCTCCAGGGCTGAGGCCTCGAGGTGATGGGGGTGTGGGGTGGGGAATACAGACTTGTATCCTGGCAACACAGCCAACCCCAGAATGCAGTCATCCTCTTCCTTCCCCGGGGGACTGGCTCAAAGCGCCTACCACCGCCACCCAAGTGCGCGCACCCCATTCTGGGACCTGTGGGAGAGACCTTTGATGTTCCCCCCACTTCTCCATCCCCTTCGCCTCCTCCTTCACCCTTCTCTTCCTCCACCTCGGATGGTCCACTCCCCTCACCCACTGTCCTCACCATCCATCCACCTTCCTCTTTTCCCCACCCCTCCACACATACCCCTTTAAATCTTAACCCCTCGGGCCCGCTCCACCGGCCTTCCTAGGCCCTCCCAACCCGGTCTCCAGCCTCGCCAATTCCTGAACCCCTCCCGGGTCCCAGCGCTCCGATCGCCGGTGTCCTTCTCCCAAGCTGGGCACGTCGCGGTCCCCTGCCCCCCACACACCTGCGCCCGGAGCATCCCTCGCCCCTCGGGCCGCCGCCTCCCGGACCCGCCGCCCCCGCCCCCGGCCGAGGGGAAAACACACAAAGAAAACAGAAATACCTTCCACTTAAGCATGGAGGCACATTAGGGAGGAGAGAGACAGGGACATGCCTTGGGACGGAGCGTTCCCCATCGGGCGGGGCGCGGGGGGCGGGGGCCCCGGGCCGGCCTGCCTGGCGCTCGCCCTCTTGCTGCCTCGCGGGCTCCTTGCTCGGCCCCAGCCCCGGAGCGCGGTGCCAAGCGGGCAGGCCGGGGGCGCGGGCCCCGCCGGGGTGGACCAGCTGGGAGGGCGCCGGCGGCCGGGCGTGTGAGTGCGCGCGCGCGCGCGGGCGTGTCACCGAGTGTGAGAGAGCGAGTGTGTGTGTGTGTGTGTGTGTGTGTGGACGCGCGCACGAACCGGCGCGGGTGTGTCACTGCGGGCGGGAGCGCGCGCCGCGCGGGCACGGGCGTGTGGCCGGAACGTACAAAGGGCCGCCTGGGGTGGCGGGAGCGGGGAGGGGAGGGGGCGCGGCGCCTCGCGCCCTCGTGCAGCACGATCCCGCGGCGAGCGGCGGGGCCGGGGGAAGGGGCGCGCTCACGTTCCCCTCCTCTTTCCACCTGCTTCTCCCACCCCAAGCTATCCTCTCGCCGCTATAGAGACAAATACCCAAGGCCCCGAAAGGGCCTCGGGGGAGGGGCTGCACCTCCAGGGCTGGGGGACTTCTCGGTCTCCAGGTCCCCGCGCTCCTTGGGATGGAGAAGCATTCGGGAAAGGACGGGGCAGGGAGGCAAGGCGGGGCGGCGGGACTGGCGGGGGCACTCGTTAGCCAAGGTGACCTCCGAAAGCCACAGCCGCCCTATGCAAGGAGAGTCTGGACCCTGCTCCGCTTCTGCTTGTACGCTCCCCCCACCCCCACCACCCCACGTTAGACACGGTTCTGTCGCCGGGACCCAGTCCCCCGGCGCCCCCTGCTGGTCTGTCTCCTTGCCCCCAGCTCTGGTTGCGGCCTCTCCTTCAGGCATCTGCTGTAACTGCAGGGGCCTATGCTAGTAGTGAGGTGTGTCTAAAGTCACCTCTCAAGCCGGACCCCAAAGGAGGGCGCTTCAACTCCTGCCCCCTCTGACACTTCGCTTGGCGACGCCATTGCCACCACCAGCTCAGCCTGCAGAGGCCAGCACTGTTCCGCCTCCACCTTACTCCCACCCCCTCCCTCCCTTAGTCTCGCCTTACTCTTACCTTGGCCGGCCTGTGGAACCCACAGACTCCTCCAGCTGAGACCCGCACCGACCCCTCCTCCCGTCCTGGTTGCTTGTTCCCTCTGTTCCTGCAGTTATCTGTCCCGTTTCTTCTCTCCCAAACTTCTCTTGGAGAGGGGAAGGGGGGCTAAGTCCCCTGCCCCTTTTCTTTACTCTGTTTCCCCAAAGCCAGCTCAGATGAGCAAGGAAGGGGCACATTACATCTCTTCCCTACAGTCGGCCAGGCGGAGTGGCAGGCGGGCAGAGAGGCAGCAGAGGAGACCCCACCCCAAGAGGCCCAAACGACAAACCGGTTTCCCCACTTCCTGTTCTACCCAGTTGCAGCCTTATTCCGGGCTCTCCCACTTTCCTGCCCGCCCCCATGCCTGCCCCTGAGCCAGCCACATGCCCGGCTAGGGGCAAGTCCCTGATGCCCCTTCGAGATTAACCTCCAGCTGCAGTCATTTAGGTGGCAGCGCCAGTGCAAGAGGAGAACAGGGCCCTTCCCAGCTCCAGCCAGACGGCTCAGGAGGGCAGCCAAGAGCATTTCTTGGACACACCGGTTGGGCACACGACCCCAGCAGTCGGCACCCCGACTTCTCCCCTCCTGGGCCAGCTGCCTCTCCTTCTGCCAACTGGACGGTGCCCATCTTTTGGCCTCTGAGTGCGCAGTGGGCGCTTGGCCAGCTCTCTGCCTGGCTGCCTGCCCGGGGCGGGCATGGGAGGCACAGGCCCTGTGTGAGGGAAGGGTTGGCAAGGGGAGGGGTGACTTCTCCTCCGCTGCATGGACACCACCTCCCAAGACTCTCAAAGCCTGAAGTGGGAACTCACACGGCTGCTCCTCAACGACACAAGCTTCCGTCCTTTGCGTCTCCCTCGGGTGCCCCCCAGGACACAAAGTAAGGGAGAGCCCTTCCCCTACTTGGTGAGCACCCAAGAGGAAGGGAATCAGCAGATGCTTCACCTGTGTTCTCTAATTTACTCCCCTCCACAACCCTGCAGAAGTGGGTGTTTTCAGCCCCGTGTCAGAGGCAAGAGTTGAGGCTGAGAGAGGTGTAGCCAACCAAAGAATAGCGAAGCTGAAATTCAAACCCAGACCCGCCTGACTCCAAGGCTCCCAGCCTCTGCTCTGTCACCACCGCTGGCTCCTGACCCTGTGGGCTGCCAGAAGCAGGGACCAGCCTCTGGCGAATGTCTCCCGACCGTGTGGTGGACGGGAGAGGGGGCCTCTGGAATGCAGCTGGGGGTTAAGACAGACACTTATGTCAAAGTTCAGGAATCGGGCACTGCCCTCCAGATGACAACTGGGAAGATGCTTGTCCTGTCCCATGGAGCTTTTTCTGTCCTTACCCTAAATGCCAAGAAGCCACTTCCTCGGGGACCGAGGGGGAGAGACTCCATGAATCAGCCCTTAGAGATCAGAAACAGTCTTTGAGGTGGCGGCGGGACAACGCTCATCTTTCACCCCTCGACCCTGACCTCCTGCGTCATGCGGGCCTCTGTCACAGTGGGGAGCTTAAATCCGTTTCGGGTGATATTTTTTTACTTATGTACCCTACTTTGTAAAGACAATCCTTAACATCCCTGGTCCTCTGCAGAGCTCTGAGTACATCTGACTGCGATCTCTCTTTAACTTCTTTGTCCACACCCACCCAACCCGGGACAGTGGCCTCCAAGGGTCCCAAGGAGGGGTGAGAAAGGACACAGGTCTTGAACAGGATCAAAGACCCCAAGGCCGCCGTGCAGCCACAGGGCAGAGAAACTGGCACCATCGTCCCCCCTGGGGCCCCTTGATCCTCTGCCCAACCCCACCCCCCGGGAAAATAGGTGCCTCCTCCCTGTCCCATCAGATCTCAGAAGCAGAGGCTCCTGGTGCAGGGAAAAGACTGATCAGGGCGAGGGCAGCAGAGGTATGAGTTTTCCAGCCGAGAGACGAAAATTGCTCCTGTAAGCTGGCATGGTGCCCAGCACAACCAATGTGCCAGCTGCCTCCACCTGAGATGCCTCAGGTGCCACCCCGCCCCCACTCTCATTGTGCAACAGGTAACCTCCCCCAGGCCCTCCTCCTCCCCTGTGTCTGAGGCTTTGCTCGCTGCTGGGAGGGGGCAGCTGGCACCACCCACCTTGCCCTCCTCAGTCACTCCACCCAGCCTCCTCACCTGCTGCTGGGGGCCTGCAGGAGTGAGGTGACGCGGGGCACCCTCCAGGTAAGAACACGCAGCCTCGCCTCTCCTTCCCCAGGGTGTAGTTGGAAAAGGGGTTGCACCCGGACAAACATCTGGGGAGAAGAGGGGGACAGGGGACTGGGGAGGACAGAAAGGGGCACATGGGCCGCTGGGGAAAGGCACGAGGAAGAGGGTGGTGTGGGAATCATGCCTGGACGCCCTGAACGGCTCCCCCTGCCACCCCGGAGCCTCCCACCCTGCCATCGGGGCTTTCGTCAGGGCGGCATGTTTCAGGAGCCCCTTCCAGAGCAGCCCGAAGGCGACAAGGGGACTGGATGTGGCCCTGTTTGGGGAGAGAGTGGCCAGGACAGTGATCTGGCATCAGGGGCAGAAGTTGGTGTGGGGGGGGCTGCACTGAGGAGGACTCCAGTGCCTCCCTGGGCTGCAGGCCGCACTCTCCGCCCACAGCCTCGCCTCCTCCCCGCCCCACACCCCCTCCCACGCTACGGAGAGAAGCAAGTGGCAGTAGGTTTCAAAAGACCCTCCTTCACTCCCAGTAGTCCCTCTTCACCCCTGCTTGTCATCCTAACGAATGCTAATAATGCTCAATAATTGATGCCCTCATCAGCACATCAAACTCGCTCTCCGAAGAGTGGAGAGAGAACGTGGAAGGGGGCGGGCCTCTGGGGTCCTGTCTGCAGTTGGCCCCTCCCCTCCGAAGAGACTCATCCTGCCGCTTCTGGCTGGGAGGGGCGCTGGCAGAGGCACTCGCAGGGAGAAGTCTGGACGCCACCGTCTGAGTGGGAATTTTCCCAGCGCAAGGTCCGTCCTCCCTGTCACACGGCGAGCAAGGTCCCTTGTCGCCCCCAAGACTGGGGGCACTGAGTAGGCCCAGGGCAGGGCGGTGGCGTCTACACAGAAGTGAGAATAGGAATCACCTGGACGGCCTGTTCAACCTGGGGTTGTCGGGCCCACCCCCTAAGTTTCTGATGCTGTAAGTTGGAGGAGAGGCTTGAGAATTTGCGTTTCTAACAAAGTCCCCAGTGCTGCTGCTGCTGCTGCTGCTGCTGCTCAGAAAGCACTTCCAGACCCGTGGGGCCGGGGCCGGCTTCTCCTGCCTCCCCGGCTCAGGACGGGGCCTGCCAGGGCGGCGCGGCAGGCCCAGCGCTGCGAGTGTCCCGGAGAGCCCTGTGGCACAAATGCAGGTGCCTCTCCTCACCCTTCCTCGGACCAAGGCCACCAAGGCCACTCGCTGCACTGTAAGTGCATGAGCACCTCCACCACTGCTTTCTCCCCAGACCTTGCCCATCGTTGGTCCCATCCCCCTGACGCACAGAGATGACCAGACCTGGGTCTCCTTGGCCCCAGCTGCTTGCCATTGTGCTGGGGCGCTGCAGATGCGAGTGGGTCTCCTCTCCCGGGAGGAGGAGGGAATAAAGGTGAGGGAGAGATTCCCCCACACCTCACCTCATTTGGGGGTGGCCCACCAGGACCTCAGTGGGGAGCGGGGCTCATGGATACAGTCCATGAACATGCAGGCAGCTCCCTATCCCCTCCCTTTCCACTCGGTCCCTCAGTGTAAGAATTGTCTTTGGTCAGGGACCTTCAGCCTCAGTGCTCTGGGCAGCGGGTGGGGGTGGACGGGAACAAGGAGACCTGGAGCAAGAATGTGGAAATGGCAGGGGCAGGGACAGGAGGGCGGACAGAAATGGGAAGAAGAGAGAATAAGAGGTGGGCAAAAACACAGGAGAAAAGAAGAGAAGAGAGGAGGCGGGACAGAGGAAGGAGGGAGAGAGGGAGAGGCCCAGAAAGGAAAAGAAAAGAGAAGAAAGATGAGGAGAGGGGACTGGAGCAGGGAGGAGGAGGGGAAGGCAGTCCGGATTTCTCCCTGAGAGAGTATACAGTGAGCCACTGGGCCCGGGTGCACCGCAAGCCCCACGCCTGCAGGGCTGCACCCAGCTCGGCTCTGAGGCTCTCGATGTCACGGGCCCATCCACAGGCCCCGGGAGGAAGGGAATGTGCACGCATGCACGTGCGCGCACACACACACACACACACACACACACACACACTGCCACTGCAGCCAGCAGCCGGGGGAGCAGAGCAGGCACTGCCCTGGCCTGTTTGACCCGTGCAGGCACCTGCTAGCCGTCTCCTCGCCTCCCAAGGTCACACCTGCTCACGAACAGAAGTGGACGGACCGCCCCCCGTACACTGCTGGTAGGAAATGGGAAATGGCCCAGCAACTATGGGAAACCGTTTGGCAGTTCTCCAAAGAGTTAAACATAGACTTCAGCGAGCGGATGATGCATAAGCAGTCTGTGATATAGCTATACAATGCACTACTGTCCGTCCATATAAAGAAGTGAAGTACCAATGCGTGCTTACCACGGACGAACCTCAAAAACATGACGTAAGTGAAAGGAGCCAGACCCACGGGGTCACATACTGTGTGGTTCCGTTTATAGGAATTATTCCGAATAGGCAAATCCGCAAAGAATTGTCAGGGGGAAGGGGAAGTGGGGGGGCAACCGCTTCATGCCTATGGGGTGTCCTTTCGGGGCGGTGAAAATTGTTTTGGAACTAGATAGATTGGTGGTCGCACCATAGGGCGAACGCACTAACAGCCCCTGAGTTGTTCACTTGAATTCTACGTAATGTGAACTTCACCCCAATTTTTTTAAAGATTTTATTTATTTTTAGAGAGGGAAGGGAGAGAGAGAGAGAGAGAGAGAAACATCAATGTGTGGTTGCTGGGGGCCGTGGCCTGCAACCCAGGCCTGTGCCCTGACTGGGAATTGAACCTGTGATGCTTTGGTCCACAGCCTGAGCTCAATCCACTGAACTACGCCAGGCAGGGCCACCCCAATTTTTTAAAGTGACAGTGAGCGATGGCTTCAGCAGCATGGACGTGAACACCGGAACAGGACAGGGAAGACGAGCGCGGCCCCTGCATAAGGATGACGTGCAAATTCGTGATGCGTTCCATAATTTTTTTTAATAAAAATACTAAGAAATTAAAAGTAGTAAGAAAGTAGTTGTTTTCCAGGGAGTTCATCGAGTCAACCACAGGTTTCAGAGCTGGGAGCTGGCTCCTGCATGAGTCGAGGAGGCCTTTCCGGATGCCCTGCGGCCCTGGGCGCCTGCTCAGAAGACCGGGAAGATGCCCACAGAACCCCAGAGTGCGGTTGTCTGGACCCATGCTACAACCCTGCAGCCTCCTCCTCCGCCTGGCTTCCAGCCCAAGGGAGGCTCCCTTTCAGGTTTCTGCTTCCCAAGCCAACAACAGATGCGTGCGCACTCTGGTGGGCAGCGAGGCGCTCACCTCCCATCCCAGCCAACACCCGCAGCCTGCCCCAGGGCAGGTCCTCCCCCTCACACCGATCTTTCTTCAAACGTGGTTTTTAAAAAGCCCTCTGGTTTTCCTTCCCCTAGGTTATTTTCATCACCCCTTAAGTGGACCCCCGGCTCTCTGGAATCTCTTCCTCCCCACGATCCCCTCTCCTCGGGCTCGGCCGTGGGCTGGCCCCCAGGGTGGGTCAGGTACCTGTGCTGCTCCCCAGGGCTCTGAAGCCCCACCACACCCTCCACTCAGGGACCTTTGATGACAGCGCCCTACAATCGAGGCCGCGTCCTTTGGGAACCCCGAACCCTTTATGGTCCCAACAAAAACTTTGCACCCTCTCCCTAGACAAATGAATACACATGACCATCTATGAGAATCTGTGAGCCCCCTGACCTCTTCAGCTAATTCTAGGATCCCTAGGGCGGGGCTATTCGAACTGTGGAAAGTCAGTTTCCCCACCCCTGCTTCTGTCCCCAGCCCGCCAGGTCCGGCCCCGGAAGCACCCCCCATTCCCAGGCTCTGGGGTCGTTCAGGCTGGCCCCTGTGCCCGTGAGCACGTTCTTCGTGTCCTCTTACCCACACGGCAGCCAGAGCGCACCCCTCACAACATGAACCGGAGACCGTTCTGTCTCCGCACACAGAAAGGTCTGTTGGTGGGTGTTTAGGCTGTTTCCAGGGCAAGAGAGAGCCTGGGGGTAACTTTATTTCCACACAGCGTGAGCACATCCACAGAATAAATTCCCAGGAGTGAAATAGCTGGATAAAGGGCATCTGCATACGTGTCTGCCATACGAACCATCCTTTCTGTTTTCTCCCCGATTAGCGAATCCACAGCAAACTATTTTTCCCTTGGGCCAATTCATTTCCTGTGGTGTGCCAGCTGGGGAAACTGAGGCAGAGACACTGCCCACCTGCCCCTGGAAAAATACAAAATCGGGTAAAGGACCCTGAAAGCAAGAATAAGCCCAGCTTTGTCGATGAGAAAAATGCCCCCAAAGATCTTGCCCGCTTCAGGAAACAGAGGGAAGGAGGGACTGTCTGGCCCGAAAAGGGAGAAACTGAAATAATGATCACTTCGTGTGGGAATGAGGAGACAAGCCGAGAACACCCAAAGGTTCCGTGGCAGCAAGAGAGACTGAAGTTAGCTCCAGTGCGAACTTCCTGCTAGTATAGGAGGGATGACAAAGGCCTGGCTCCAGGGAAAGACTGTGGGTGACTCCCTACACGGAGATCATTAAGCTGGGATTAAAGGCAGAGGACCCACCCAGCCTGCTGGGGGCAGAGGACTGGCACGGGTGACCATTTAGCCGTGGGAGGGCACATCCTAGCCCAGGTGGAAGGGCAGAGAATTGGATTAATAAGGCAGGGCCCAGAGCTTTACTGTCTTCAAAGTAATCCCATCATCAAGCTTTTGAGGCAGGTAAGCAAGGATTATGAGCAGCCCGTTTTGCTGATGGGAACACTAAAGCCCAGAGAAGTGAAGAAACTTGGCCAAGGCTTCACAGCTGAACCAGAACTTGATCCCAAGCCTTTAGCCTCCAAGTCCAGTGAGATGACCTCCAATGCCCTGCCTCCTGGGGCTGGAACTTCCCAAGGCAGGACCGAGGTCTCCATCCTTGGTTCTACCACCGGCTTTCCCAGGCCCTCTACACCCCACCGCTCCCGACCAACACCCCACCCACAGCCCCAAAACAGGGTGGAGGCTGCCGGGAGAGGCGGCAAATCCCTCTTCTGTCTAACAACCGAGCGGAAGGAGGAAGACGGAGGTGGGAACAGGTCCCAAACCCCCATCTCACTTGTCCTCGCCCGTCTCAGTCTCAGACTCTCTCGTGATAGGAAAGTAGGCCAGTTTGGAATATGTCACGGATATTTTCGACATCCCCATCTGTACTAGAGCTCTGCACACCGCCACGTGGGGTGGAGCCAGCGCCTTCCTGCCGAGCGAGGGGCGCACCTGCTACCTCTGGGGCTCAGAGCCCAGACGCGGAGGCTGGAGACGCACCGGGGGATGGGGGGCGGGGAACCCTGGACGGCACCAGGCAAGTGTCCGGCAGCCTGGGCAAGGCAGGACCGGAGATCAGCAGTGTCTGTCCCCTTCCCAGAGGAGCAGGAGCAGAACAGCTATGACCTGTGGACACCGTTCCAGCCTCCACTAACCTGGGATGGAACTCTCCAAGGAAAGAGCAATTAGTCTGTGGGGAAAGGGGTCCAGGAAAGCTTTATGGAAGAGGCGGCTGACATCTGAGTTGGGGCTTGAATGGGAAGCAGGACTGTGCTGGGTGTGGAAGACGGGGGAGGGTGTCCTTAGCCCAGAGATGTGCTTTGGGTACGCGGCAACCAGTGCGCCAGGCAGGGTAGAGGGCTGACAAGGGAAGGGCAGCCAGCAGGCAGGGCAGGGTCAGGCTAGCATTGGCGAAGGAGCTGTCAATGGTGAACACCCAGCTACGAAGCTTGGGGTGCAAGTGCCTATGGAGGCTAAGGGCCATGGCTCAGAGAGAACATGCAGCAGTGGGCAGGGAGGGGTTACCCTGGGTGGGGGAGTGAGAGTCCTCCTGGAGCCACCAGCCACCCTGACCACAGCCTCTTCTGGTTTGCTGGCCGGGCACCTCTCCTGGTTGGGGGAGGGTGGGCCAACAGGAGAAATGCATTCCTTGCAGAGGTGTTGGAGACTTGCCAGCCTGAAGGGCCCGAGGCTGGGCTGGGGGCTGCACAGGACAGGACTCTCCTGGAAAGACTGGTACAGGAGACAACTGGACGTTGTGTTTACTAAGCACCGATTAGGGGTATTTTATACCTCAGCCTCACTTAGTCCACACCACAAGCCCTAGAAGTAGGCATGATTTTCCCCTTTTTATCGACGTGGAAAGTGAAGTTTCAGTGCTAGAGACATAAAGGGAAGTGTGGGTCCCTTCCCTAAGGTCCCACGGCTTGTGAGTCAGGTAGGAATTCAGGCCCGTCTGCCCCAGAGCCTGTCGCCTTCATCTGTCACCACCTCGCAGATCAGGGCCCGGGCTCCAGTGCCAGAGAAACGGCGGCCCAGCCTTCACTCCCTCTCACTGCCTCCGCCCTGGACCAGGCCTCCAGGGCCCCACGCCAACCCCCGAGACCGCCAAGCTCAGGTGAGAGAGCGGAGGCTCGGCGAAGTGAAGTGACTTGCCCAAGGACGCGAGGCTAATTAAGGATGGACACAGGGTTCAGACCGCCTGATCACTCTGCCTCGTCCTTCCCTAAGCACTTGGCTTCCCAAGGTGGCCACGCGTAAGGAGCTTGCTCCCTGCAACGAGAGCTGGTTCTGCACCTGAGCTGATTCCACAGGCGGGCACTGTGCTTCCCATGACGGAGGCGTAGGGGGGACACAAGGGAAACAGCGTCACACTCAGCCACTTCAGTGAAGGCTCCGAGAGCATGGTCCACAAGGTCCTCCAAGTGCTAGAGTGGCTGAAGATGGTGGACAAGGACCAGGATGGCAGCTGCCACACCGCAGGGACAGGAAGATTTGGACAGACTCCCCAGACAGCTGGCAACTGACAATGAGAAGCCTTAGAACAAATGCTGGATTAATGAATTGCCTCATTCAGAAAGAGCGAGAGAGGACCACGTCGGGCGATTTACCCTACCCAACTTCAAGACTATTAGAAAGCTACAGCAATCAAGACATAGTCTGTTGGCAAACAGACCAAGGGAAGAGAACAGAAAGTCTATAGTAGACCCACACACAACTGATTTTCAACAAAGATATAAAATCAGTCTAGTGAGAAGGTAGTCTTTTCAACAAATGACCCTGGAATAAATAAACATCCAGATACGCAATAAAATAAAATACCTCACGCCATATACAAAAATTAACTCGAGGTGAATCCCAGACCTAAATACAAGCCCAAAGTCATATAGTTAAAATACAAATACAGATTGAATCTAGAAATGGCCAAGAAGGACAGTCTTTTTGTCCCTGGCTTCAGCACGATTGATTTGTTTTCAGCACACTACATGTGTCACATTAAATTAACATCTGAACATTGAAAAAAAGAAAGAGTGTGCACTGTATGGTTTTCTCTCTCTCTATGTAATATCTATTAAAAATGCAAACCTATCCTGAGTAAAAGACAACAACCCCTTGGTGGTTGCTTAGCGATGAGGGGAGGGGGTGGAGCAAGCCATGAACGACAGGAGGAGACTGTGGGGCTGTGGGCAGGTTCCTTACCTGACCCAGCGGTGGGTTCATGCGTGTATTCACATGTGAGGACTTCTCAGCTTGTACATGTCAGACGTGTGTAGTATGTGTCTTGTCAATTAGTCCACAAAGCTCTTACAACGGGAAACAAAAGGAAGCGATACTCAAATAAAACGAAAGACGTAATCTGGAAAAAGAAATGAGACACCGATATTGGAAAAAGCAGCAAAATCACCACTACATGAAGATTATATTATTATCTACTTAGAAAAGTCAGAGGTTCAACTGAAGCCTCATAGATCCTATCAGCCAGTTTAATAAAATGGCTGGTTAAAATAAAAACATAGATAAATCAATAGCTGTCTTTTTTAGCAACAAAATCCAATTTTTAAGTGTTGGAAAAATGTTATTTAATTCATACCAGCAATTGAAGCTCTGAAATACACAGGAGTAAATTGCACCTAGGATATACAGGCAG